CAAATGAGATTCAGAATATATTGTCAAATTGTTCAGTTGTGTGCTGTGGCTCTAATGGAGCCAGTGGGACAATTCCTGCCATGGGATTGATTTTATCATTCATTGTGATAGCTGTTATAGTAGAGCTCTTATAATATTATGCATAAATTGTTGTATCCTATAACTGTTTGACACTTTGTGTTTTGTATAGTGAACCTTGTTAATGCTATTAGGATCAATAGCTTTTGTCTATGACTTTTTGTTAGACTTATAGACCATTATAATGCCTATTTAATGTTACTTGGGTAGTACCTGTCATTGTGAAATTAAGAAACAAATTGGGTAAAAGCAAAATCCCTGGCTAAAAGTAAAGTAAATTAAAAGAAACAAAACTAAAAGTCCAAGTAAAATAGTCTTATTTACTTTAAACAATGTCAAATGTCATGTTCCATCTCTTCTGCTATAGATCTGAATGCTTCATTATTTTTCAAGACTTGAATCAACTTTTTCAGCACACCAGGTTGATCAATAGAGACACGAAGAGCATTAAGCAAAGAATGTGCCCTGTCAGCTGGTCTTCTTGCATCGGTCATGCAGTCTTGTAAAGTTTCATCAGTAATGAGCCTTTTAGAGTAGACCTCATAAGCAATACTTGCTATATTCTCAGGTGTCATCAGTTTGTAAAGATCAGCAATTTTTTCTTGAAAAATTATTTTAGGGTCAGTTGCAGATGAACTGCCTGGTTTTGCAGGATCTTGTGACGAATTATCACCTAAAATTAGCAATGCAAATTATAATTCTTATATTTTCATACCCTTTGATAGTGCAATCAAAAAGACTTTATTATCAGATATAATTCCCTTGAATGTTACAGGATGCCTTAATTCACGATTAGTATTGCTACCAGGAGTAGCAGTGATTGTGAAACGGCATTGAGGAAAACGTGGAGGATTCATTCGTCCATATTCATCAATTGTACTCTGACTAACTTTAGTTACCTATGGCAGTATGTTATTAATTACTCTATACTATAACACTAACTTTGGTAGGGGTTTCTATTGACTCTTCATTGGTGGGGTTTCCCAGATGAGGACTTATTGACCAACCTTCACTGCACTTATTTGTGTCAGTGTGTATCTCAAGGAATCCATTAGAACTCTCAAACCGAAAAGAAAACTCTTGATCACTCTCTGCTCTCTCGTACTCTTTATTCATGTACTAAACAAAGCCAAAATTTATAATTATTATAATAGAGCATAACTAAAATACCTTTATTAATGCATTAAGATCTTTACCAAATAGAAATATCAGCAGCCATTTTTTTCCAGGACTTTCATTCTTATACAGTGGCTGAGTAAAGTAAGACCATGATGCAAGCAATACATCTATATCTAAATAATTCTAAAATATAAAATCAAGTTAGTTATAAGACATGCTTTGTGTCGAATGGCTTTCAGTTTCTACATCTGTTGAAGTGCTTTTATCAGTACCAGTCAAAGAGTGTGGTGATGGAGGCAATGTTGGTGAAGAGAGTGGTATTGTGACACATACATCAGATGTGGTCTGACGGCTTGAGTGGCGTAACTTTTTAAACCATTCCTTAATGGTTTGGACAATGGCCCATGAAGAAAATTCAGAGATGAGTAAACTGCCATACCGA